GAGAGAGCCCAGGTTGGAAGGTTTCATGGCCTGGGATAGGCCAAGCGCCATATGAGCTTCCCATTAGAAAAGAAGATACGGGCCCACTAGGCCATCCCAAAGAAGCCTCAGGTGAAGCTCTCTCCCTTCCCCAAAGAAGGGATCAGGGAGAAAAGAGCAATGCTACAAGTCTTTCAGGGGTGCTCAAGAGCCCTAGGAACCAATTTTATATCTTTCTTGCTTTCCCTCATCGGGGAAGATGAAGGAAAAACAAAGTCAGCTGTACAATCCCTTCCTGATTCTCTTTCTGCAGAGAGAACAAGTAAAGAGAGCCAGGTGTCATCAGGTAAAGCTTTAAGAGGAAGGAGAGGGGCTTTAAGTATGAAGTGCCTGCTTCTGACATTACTGAGGCTAAGGATGCAATCCAGCCCTTGAAATGATCTATCTTCCCTAAATATAGAATAAGCAATCAGCATAATTCCCAGACATCTGTTATTCTGTTTGTTTTATGGCTTGGTCTATACTTTTTATTCTAATTAAACTAAATTCTCTGTTAGAGGAAAAGGTTGTTTTCTCACATTGCCTTTTGTATACTGTGCAGAAAATTCTAAAACTTCATTGTTAAACCTTTCTTCTGTGGCCTTTAGGTTCTTTAGTGGATGATGAATCATTGATCGGCGTCTTGAGGACAACCAAACAAACTGCCACAGAAGTATCTGAAAAATTGGAAGTTGCAGGAGAAACTGAGAAAAAAATTAACACTGCTCAAGAGGAATATCGTCCTGCTGCTACACGAGGAAGCATTCTTTATTTTCTTATCACTGAAATGAGTATGGTCAATAATATGTACCAAACATCACTAGCTCAGTTCTTAAAACTGTTTGACCAGTCCATGGCTAGGTAAAAAACAACAATACCACCTTTACAAAGCCAGTGTCTTTCTACTTTTCACCCACTTTCAACATTCATCCATTGGTTTCTTTTTTCTTCCTTTCTTTCCTTAGATCTGATAAGTCTCCTATTCCACAGAAAAGGATATCAAATATTATTGAGTTCTTGACATATGAAACTTTCACATACTCTGTCAGAGGTTTATATGAAAACCACAAATTTCTCTTTACGTTGCTTCTGACATTAAAAATTGATCTTCAGAGAGGTCAGGTTAAGCCAAAAGAATTCCAAGCACTCATTAAAGGTAATAATTTATGTCTGAATTCTTTCTATCTTGTCCAAAAGGCTTGTAATATGCTACATATTTTGCATGTCGTCTTCATGGCAATTTTATATAAATTAAAGAACAGGCAACTGCTTAAACCCTTTGGAATTAATAATCAGAGATTTGATACCGTGTGTCCTTCATCAGACTCAATCCTGTGCATCATCATTAGCTTTTAGTACAATTGTTAAGATAAACATGATGATTTAATCAACTTTTAAATCTTAGTAAGGTGTATCTGCATGTGCATTGATTTT